ATAATAATCATCCCAGCTGCTGTGGCTCAGCAGGGGAGCAGTGTCCCCAACCCCACTCCATATTTCCCTCTTGGTGTTAGGGGGTTCAGTTCTGTCCCACTGAGCCCACTAGAACGGGGACACAGAACAGGGAAAGTGACAGTGGCTGCTGCTGCATGTGTCAACATTGGATCCCTCTGGTGTTGGCTGGGACGTTTCTTTGGGTGACAGATGGACCAAGGGAAAGCTTGTTTGCCTGATAAATATTGATCCATTGGGTTTACAAGTCAGTGCCCAGTTTCCTCACCAGCTTTCAGCCTGGGGAGGTCAGTCATCCTTCATGGACTCCATCTGTGCAGCCTCGCCTTCTCTGAGAAATGGGGGGTTGGACAGGCTCGCCAAAGAGTCCCACCTGACTCCTCTTCCCACCCAACCTGGGCTCCTAATAATTAGCCCTGGTTTTCTTTGCAGAGAGAAATGGTCATTTGTGCCCCTCTGAACTTCCTGCTCACAAACTGAGCCAACAAAGATGTGTTTCTTAGAGGGATGCCGGGGTGATGGGGAGTGGGGGTATGTGCCTGCTTCAGCCGCAGTGGCAAAGCCAGGTTTCCCTGGGGCTGGGGCAGGGGACATGGCGTGATAGATTTCGGGTCTTCTTGCTGGGGAAAGAGCTCAGACAAGTGTGGAAAGTCACCCAGCCACACCCCTTTCTCTATGGATCTAGAAGGCATTCCCGGGCTCTGTTGCCATTTTTATTTGAGATTCTATGTAGGACTTGGGACTTCTTCAGAGAAGACTCTGGGAGGGCCCTAGGATCCAGCTACTAGGATGGGGCTCCCTGCTTTACCCTTACTTTCTCTCTGGGATGTTCCGTGGCCCCATTGTACTAGGCTTCTCCAAAGAAAAACAGCCAATAGGAGATTTATATATGTCAGAGAGAGAGATTTATTAGAAGGAATTGGCTTATGTGACGATGGAGGCTGAGAAGCCCCAAGATCTGCAGGCAGCAAGCTGGAGACCCAGGAGAGCTGACGGCATAGCTGCTGTTGGAGACTGAAGGCCTGAGGACCAGGAGGGATGATGCTGTAAGTTCTCATCTGAAAGTTGGCAGGCTGAAGCCCCAAACAGCAAGTATTTCAGCTTGAGTCCAAAGGCCAGAAAAGACCAGTGTCGACTGGGCACGTTGGCTCCCACCTGTAATCCCAGCACTTTGGGAGGCCCAGGTGGGTGGTTCATGAGGTCAGCAGTTTGAGACCAGCCTGGCCCAGATGGTGAAATCCCGTCTCTACTAAAAATACAAAAAATTAGCTGAGTGTGGTGGTGTGCACCTGTAGTTCCAGCTGCTCGGGAGGCTGAGGCAGGAGAATTGCTTGAACCTGGGAGGTGAAGTTGCAGTGAGCCAAGATGACACCACTGCACTCCAGCCTGGGCAACAGAACAAGACTCCATCTCAAAAGAAAAAAAAAAGGGAGAAAGAAAAAAGAAAAGACCAATGTCCAAGCTCTAGCAGTTAGCAAAAAGAATTCCCTCTTACTCAGCCTGTTTGTTCTATTCAGATCTTCAACTGATTGGTTGAGGCCCACCCTCATTAGTGAGCACCATCTGCTTTACTCTGTGTACTGAAGCAAATCTTATCCAGAGGCTGGGCTTGGCGGCTCACTCCTGTAATCCCAGCACGTTGGGAGGCTGAGGTGGGCAGATCACCTGAGGTAGGAGTTCAAGACCAGCCTGGCTGACTTGGTGAAACCCTGTCTCTACTAAAAATACAAACATTAGCCAGGCATGGTGGTATGCACCTGTAATCTCAGCTACTCAGGAGGCTGAGACGGGAGAATCACTTGAAACTGGGAAGCAGAGGTTGCAATGAGCCAAGATTGTGCCACCGCACTCCAGCCTCGGCAACAGAGCAAGACTCTAACGCAAAAAAACCCCAAACTTATCTGGAAACTCTTTCTTTCTAATAAATCACTATTCTGAGAAAAAAAAAAAGTCACAAAAACAACTGGTCCTATCATACCTTTCCTCTGCCTTCATTTTCCTGGTACAAAGAACATTTTTAAAGCCCAACAATAAATCAGAAAAAAACTAAATAGTAAAAAACAAAAAGTGAAAGAGAGTAAAAGGCGCTAACAGAGAAGGCAAAGCGAGGAAAAAAAGAGGATATAAAATGATCCAGAGAGGTATCATATATATGACCAAAAATCAAGAGGTAGAAGAAAATATATTCGTCATGATGGCTATCAGTGGTCTCGGGGTGATATTAGCCATCCCAATTAATATATTTTCTTCAATGATATCAAATAAATATCAGCACCCTTTACAGCCCGAATTTTTTTTTTTTTTTTTTGAGATGGAGTGTCTCTGTCACCAGGCTGGAGCGCAGTGGCGCAATGTTGTCTCACTTCAACATCTGTCTCCCGGGGTCAAGTGATTCTCCTGCCTCAGCCTTCCAAGTAGCTGGGACCACAGGCACACACTACCATGCCCTGTGAATTTTTACATTTTCAGTAGAGAGAGGGTGTAGCCTTACTTTTATAATAGAACAGCCTTTAACAGGACATGGATCACAAAAGGAAGGGAACATATATTGAGTGCTGACTATATGCAAGGCATTGTTTTAGACACCAAAGCTGTCTTCTCATTTGATCTCTGCAATTGCTGTGTGAAATAGGCACTATTCCTGACTTAAGATTTTGACACCAAGGCTCAGAGCAATCCATAAAACAAATGACAACGTGGGTAGCCCCAGTCATTGTCCCTGTTTTTTATCCTCTGTTCAGTATCATAGGCATCTGCACTTAATGAAAAAGAAAAGGCATAAAAAGAATAGTAAAAGAAATAAAAATTCCAACAAAGAATAAAAGGAAAAATAGCCATTCTCTTACCTCTCTGGATGGGCATGGAACTTCACCAGACTGCTAGAAAGCTGTCTCTTTGCTTGTAAGTCCTCACTGAGCCAACTCTGTTCATCTGCTAGTCCTTCTAGCATCCGCAGCAACTGACAAGAGAAGAGAGAAGAAGCAATACACAAATGGCACAGTGAGACATGAAGCCACAGTTAACTCTGAGAAACAAAAAAAATGCATTAACATGTACTATGACTTAAAAACCCCGCTCTGTTGGTACTTAAGCTTTTGATAGCATTGCATAGTTTTCCCGAGAAGCAGGAAAATGCATTAGCACGTACTATGACTTAAAAAGCCTGCTATGTTAGTACTTAAGTTTTTGATAGTATTGCATAGTTTTCAAATCAATGTCATATTATTTTTTTAATCTTTAAAACCCTGTAAGTTGGAATTCAAACACAGGAGCAAAAAGAATAAAAAAGAGAGAGAAGCTAGAAGCACAGGAAAGCAGCTAAGGCAAAGGAGTAAGAGGGAAACGGGACAGGCAAGAGGGAAACACATATAATAGGAATCACCAGTATTCTTCATTCATTCAATACATATTTACTGAGCACCTTCCATGGGAAAGACTCCATTCCAGGTTCTAAGGGAAAGCCTACTATCTAGTGGAGGAAAAAGACGTTCATTAATCATAGACGTGTGTCATTGTGAGTGTAATAGTGCTATAAAGATAACGAGCTATGATCATGTATAACCAACAGAGAGTTGTTGAAGGTAGAGTTGAAAGCCAGAATGGAGTGGGGTGAGTAGTTAGTAAGAGAGATGCTAATGGAGACAGAGTACAGGCAAGTGAGTCTTTTGGAAAAGAAAGGTTAAATGGGCTGTAGCTACAAAGAAAGTTGGGGCAAAAGCAGGGGTTTCTTTCTCTTTTTTTTCAACTGGGAGAAATTTGAACATGGTTAAATGCAGACAGAGGTGAAAGATTCAGTTGAGAGGGAGGTAACTTACATATGAGTGTGAGGGATAACTATTGGTATGTGTCCAAAAGAACTGCTGCTCTTTACAGAACCACACGTCAGAAAGAGTCATCTATAGCCGCTAACGACCAAAGTAGGAAACTTCAGAGCAGTTTCCTGATGAAATAACATTTATGAAAAACCAATACCACGGTTTATTTCACAGTAGAAAAACAAGTTTGTGTCAGGTGTAGTGGTATGCACCTGCAGCTTCAGCTACTCAGGTGGCTGAGGCAGGAGGATTCCTTGAGCCCCAAGAGTTTGAGGCTGCAGTGAGCCATGATTGTACCACTGCACTCCAGCTTGGGTGACGCTGTGAGACTCCATATATATATGGACAGAAAGAGAGAGAGAGAGAGAGAGAGAGAGAGAGTGTGTGTGAGTGTGTGTGTGTGTGTGTGTGTGTGTGTGTGTGTGTGTGTGAATGAATCTATATTCCAATAACTTACCTGTTGTCTTTGGTTTCCTGGTATTTCTTGATCCTGGGATTCTACTGGAGCAACTTTTTCCCAAAGAAGTAATACTTCCTGGGTCAGGCGTTCCACAGCTGGTATGTCTCCAGGAAAATCTGTTGTATTTGCAGGTCCTAGAAGTCAAAAAGTAAGTGTAAACATGAAAATAGTAATCAAAGTTTTATGCAGTTGACAGGCACAGACAAATGTTCTTGAAACAGTCTGCCTATACTTTCAAGTAAGATATTGATAAGCACCGGGCAAGGAATTCAATGTGTGCAAATACTGTCTGAAGATGCCCTACAGGTAATCTGAGATGTGAACACTTCCAATGGTCTGTAAAAACTTTGGAAGGACCTTTATGAGGTCTTCTTTACTCTGTATTTTCCTGGTTAGAGGCTCCATATCAGCAGCCTGCACCTGTGGCTCTTGCTCCCGCACCCACGGCTCTTCTTGCACCTGAGGCTCTTCCTCCCGCACCTGCAGCTCTTCCCCCCCAGCACCTGTGGCTCTTCCTCCCGCACCTGCGGCTCTTCCTCTTGCGCCTGCAGCTCTTCTTCTTGCACAGCCATCATGGACTGTAGAGCAGAAAGTTCCAACTGTGAATAGAGGAAACAATAGCTGCCATGTTTACATTTTAACACGGAGACAAATGCTTTTGCATATCATATGAGTATCAGCCAGTAATGCAAGAGAAAACGAGATAAGAACAGGGCTCTACAAGATCAAATAAAAATATCCATGCAGTATAGTAACAAACAAACGATGTTTTATGGGAAGATGTAATAGTTGTTTTTAATGACATCTTCCACCATAACTGGCACCATAAAACACATCAAATTTGTTTAACAAGCTTATTATGATACTGAAAAAGAATGGTGACCATTAGCAGAAGCAAGAAGAGACAAAGTTTTTATGTAAGTACTTCAGCTAATAGAGGAAAAAAATGATAACATTAGGATATCTCCATTTTGCAACCCTTAATCAATTAATGGATTAGGCATCAAACCCCAAAAGCTGCTAACATCACAAGAGATCACCAAACAGTACATGCCTCCAGATTGAAGAACATGCCACCACCTCTGAAGGAATCCTGCCATAGCTAGCACTACATGCCCTCAACTTTCAGTGTTCTCAACAGAAAATGATAAATACTTGGTTATGACAAAGTTCATTAAAACTCATCATAGGCTGGGCTCCATGGCTCACACCTGTAATCCCAGCACTTTGAGAAGACCAGGTGGGTGGATCATGAGGTCAGGAGTTCGAGACCAGCCTGACCCAAATGGTGAAGCCTTGTCTCTACTAAAAATATAAAGATTAGCCAGGCATGGTGGTGAATGCCAGTAATCCCAGCTACTCAGGAGGCTGAGGCAGGAGAATCGCTTGAACCGGGGAGGT